GTTTTTCTTCATATAACCCTGCTTCTTAGATTATTTGCTCAGCATACACGTTGAAAAAGTAGGTGAAAGAATACAACCTTGTCACACACCTTTTAAAATTTTAAACCATTCAGTGTCCCATGTTCTGTTCAAACAACTGCCTCTTGGTCCAGGCACAGGTTCTTCATGTGTACAAATAAGTGTTCAGGAATACTCATACTTTGCACTGTTGTCCATAGCTTGTCATGATACACACAATTGAAAACCTTTGTGTAGTCCATAAAGCACAGGTAAACATCTTTCTGATATTCTCTGCTTTCAGCCAAGATCCATCAAGAAAGTAGGAAAAAGTCAAAATGGACGTCAGAAGAGACACTGAAATTTACTCTCCAGCATAGAGATGCTAAAGCAAATGGAAGAAATGAGGAGGTACAAGAGCTGAACAGAAAAGTTTAAAGATCAGATTGAGGAGATAAAGTCAAATATCACAACAAAATGTGCAAAGTTCTGGAACTAGAAAACCAAAAAGGAAGAACACGCTCAGCATTTCTCAAGCTGGGGGAACTGAAGAAAAAAGCCTTGAGTTTCGTTATTGAAAGATTCTCTGGGCAAATTATTGAAAGATGCAGAAAGCTTCAAGAGAAGATGGAAGGAATACACAGAGTCACTGTACCAAAAGGAAATGGTTAAAGTTCAACCATTTCAAGAGGTAGCATATGATCAAGAGCCAATGGTACTGATGGAGGAAATCTAAGGTGCATTGAAAGAATTGGCAAAGAACAAGGCACCAGGAATTGATGGAATAACAATTGAAATCTTTCAAGAAAGTGAGGCTGCACAGGTGGCACTCACTCATTTCTGCCAAGAAATTTGGAAGACAACTATCTGGCCGACTGATTGGAAGAGATCCATATTAGTGCCCATTCCAAAGAGAGATGACCTAATGAAATGTGGAAATCATCAGACAATCTTTTTGATATCCCATGCGAGTAAAGTTTTACTAGAGGTAATACGGAAACGGGTGCAAGCATACATTGACAGAGAACTTTCAGAGGTTAAAGCCAGATTCAGAATAGGCCATATAACAAGGGATATCATTGCTGATGTCTGATGGATCTTGGCTGAAAGGCAGACTGTGGACAGTTTAAAAGTGAAAAACAACATCAGGGAGTACATACTTCTTAGTACAACAAACCACATGAGACCAAAATGGCAGCTTTTTCCCAAAAGTGAGGCTCTGAAGGAATGACTAGAAATGGGGAATCCAGAGAGGAAGTAGGAAGAGTCCAATTACACTGAAGAATTTGCAACCAATGTTGTGAAACAATTGTGTACAAATTGTTGAATGGAAAATGAGTTTGCTCTGTAAAGTTTCACCCAAACTACAGTTTTTAAAAAAATTAGAAAGTCTTTTTTCAAATAAAATAAATGTTGTTGTTGTTGTTGAAATAAAAGAATAACAGTAAAATAAATAAATAAAATAAATGTTAGCCAGACACTATTTTTAATGAGATCTTCAGTACCATCTTTAGTTATTTAAAAAATGTTATTGAAGTAGAAATAGCTTTTTTTTTTGTGACTTAGCTTTTAAATCAGTAGATGTTAAATTAGAATGACGGATTTTTATGGATTTCAACATTTTAATTTTTTTCCTGCTTTTTTAGAAAAATGAAAATTCTTCTCATAATCCAGAACACTTGCAATTATTCTCCCATAGCACTGTGCCAATGACCGTATCCTATGGGATATGATTTCATTTTCAATCATTCAAAACCATTTTCCATCCTTTCTGGACTGGACACTGGGGCTATTTAATAAATCATACAGAAATATGATTGTAAAACAAAAAAGGCCTCAATCACTCTTAAGGAACTCTTAAGTATAAAACAGTACTTGCCTTGATTTAGTTACTTTTACATGCTATCTGAGAATTAAACAACCAAGCAAACAAACATTTTTGACACTTTGAATCCAGTGAAACTTTAACTGCAGCAGGGAAATGTGCTGAGGGTGGTGAGTATGTTGACTAACTGAGCTATCCAGTACATATGGGATTACACCACTTTCTGAATCAGAATTTCCTGCTATTGCAACATGTTTTTTTTCTTTCTTCTTCTTTTTTCCTTAGAAACAATCCATTTGGGTTCATTACATGGTCATTTGTTGGGCTTGTTTGTAAGTACAATGAAGTCATACCAGGCCGGCTCTGTCTACAGAGTCAGGGGAGATCCTGCAGCTGCTCCATGAATCAGGCCATGCAAGTGGTCACCCAAGTCAGCAGGAAGACTGGCTCAACTTTGTTTTGCTTCCTCCATGAGGCATCAATCTGTTGAACTTTTTTTGTTGTTGTTAAACCAACTTTTTATTGAGGAATGATAGTGTTCAAGCAGTTGCCATGTTACAAAGACGTTCCATTCCCAAGTCTGTGTTTAGGTCATATTTGTACATGAATCTGAACAGTTAGGTATAATTTGTATCTAACATCAGTTAGTAAAATACTACTCTTAGTATATGAGCTACAGAACCTTTCTATGCATAGAAATATTCACAAAACACTTCCAAATACACTAAAACATCTGTAGCCCTGTAGGATAAGCACTGGACCACGAGGTCAGTTTGAACACACACAGGGCACTTAACAAGACCATAGTAATAATAACAGCATTCTGGTGTGTTTTGCAGAGTAGTTTGTTATTACAAACCTTTGAGGAGGCTTCAAAAAGTTTGTGAAAAAAATGGAATTGAAATATAATGACATTTTCCCACAAAGATTTTGAAGCCCCTCTTATACCTAGGAATGGAATTGCTAGGTGATGGAGTGGGTGTATGTTAGATTTAGATGCAACCAGTTTTCTGAAATGGTTTCTGTACTTACACCAGCAATGTTTAAGAATTCCAGCTGTTCCATCTCCTCACCAATATTTGGCATTTTCTGTCTTTTTTATTTTAGCCATACTGATGGATGTATATTGTAATGTCATTTAATTTACATTTCCCTGATAATAATGAAGCTGAGCATCTCTTCATATGATTATCAGTAATGTGTATATATATTTTTTGTGAAGTAATTATTCAAGTCTTTTTCCGGTTTTTCTATTACATGATTGACTTTTTCTGTTTCATAAGTTTTCTTTATTAATCTTGATATGGATCCTATGTGCAAATATGTATTTTGTTTTTCTCTCCCCCATTTGCAGGTTGCCTTTTAATTTTTTAATGGTGTTTTTTGATGAGCAGATAATTCTGGGTCTTGAAAAAGTTCAATTTATGACATTTTTGGAATGGTTTGTACCTTTTCTATTCTGTTTAGGAATTCTTTTCCTACTACAAGTTGACAGAGCTGTTCCCCTATGCTGTTTTCTAAAATACTTATTTAAATGTACAGTCCATCTAACTTATTATTTATATATTGTAAGACAGAGAGATCACAGAATTTTGTTTCTTTCTATATGGATGCCCTACTAATCTGGCATCATTTTACTTGTTTTTTTAACTCGTTGAAAATGCTTCCATACAATTTAGCTCTAATGGAATATATTTTATATTCTTCTGGAGATAATTACTAGTGCTTCTTAACAATAAATAATAAACCTATGAATATTAAAAATTTTTAACATAAACCTTTATTTAACATTAATGTAAATTGAAATCTCTCTTTAAAATTCTTCTCTTTAAATACTTAGCCTCTAATTTATAAATCCAGCATGTTTACTTATTCAACACCAGAATAATTTATAACACATAAAACAGTCATTTAAAAAACAAATTGTTGTCCTTTTTCGTTTGAATTCAATTGGCCAAGTATGTATTATATGTTTACTAAAATTTGAGACAATTCAGAATATGCTTGAAATTTTGAACTCCATTTTCATGTCATTTTGATCTTAAGCACATAATAAGTTTGACAAATATCTGTCAGTAAGAAACCATTTTTCTCTAGTTCTCATGATGACATTAAGAAAAAGAGGTACAAGGTCAGGACTTGCATTACTATTATAATGAATGTCCTTACACCCTTTATGTAAAATTTCTAAACTTTTTCCGCTCATAATGGCACACGTCTTTTAAGAATTAAAAATAGAAAACAAGCGTATCATTTCTGTATTTGGAAGTGCCCCATCAGCAGAATGCGTGTATCTCAGCTGTGGAGAAACCTCTCTTTCAGATACAGGAAATATTGGAACATTCGCTTTGGTGAAGACTTTGTGTTGTTTCTTAAGAACGTTGATGTTTAAATTATGCTTTTGCTCCAGCACTTAGTGAACTCTTCTAATCCTATAAATCAAGCCATTAAATAATTGTTTATTTTCTTAAAAGTTGTTGTTAGTTGCCATGGAATCTGTCTAACGCAACCCCGCATATAAGCGTTTCTAAGGCTTATAAGAACAGAAAGTCTCATCTTTCTCCTCAGGAGCAGTTGGTGGGTTTGAACAAATGATCTTATGGTTCACAGTCCAGTGCTTATCCTACATCATTACCAGAGCAGCTGAAATTGTTATCCTCTTTGATGTCATCCTTGCTTAGTTTCATTTATTTTTTTTCTTTCATTATTTGTTCTAGGTTGTACTGGTCAGTGGACATCTGGACAGCTGGGATGTTGGTCAGGGTGCCATGGATGATGGCGGTGGAGCCTTTATATCCTGGGAAACCCTCTCACTTATTAAAGATCTTGGTAAGTATTTTTAAAAGTCATTAACCAATGTGTAAGGGTCTTCGTAGTGACGTATTTCACTCAACACACAAAATATATAACAATTTAGTTAGTCTGGGGTGTTCAAAGATTCTCCTGAGGTCTATACATGCTTGTCAGTTGAATCCCGGAAAACAGCTAACGTATTCCCTGAAAGAAAGACATTTTTGATCAACTGTACTCCAGACATTCAAAATATCAAATATTATGGTCAAGCACTGGGGAAAATTAACAAGCAAACACCCCTGAAATAAGTGCAATTGTACCCGCAAGACACACGTAGGGAAAAGATGACTGAAAGTACAAAACATCGTCAGTGCATCCTGCTTGCTTTCCTTTGCTCATCTCAAGGACATTGTTAGGCTCTGAGGATAGCTTTGGTCCAGTTGTCTTTCCAAAACAGAACTCATAGCAACCTATGATGAAAGGAATGATTCTTTTAGCCACAATAAGGAATCAGGCTAAAAATTGGGGATATCTTGGGTAAATTTTGTTGTTGTTAGGTGCTGTCGAGTCAGTTGCAACACATGAGACCTTATGTGCAACAAAACAAAACACTTGTCTGGTCCTGAGCTTTCCTCACATTCATCATTACACTTGAGCCCATTGCTACTTTCTCTGTGCCAGTCCATCTTGTTAGGGTTCTTCCTCTTTTGCTCTGACCCTACACTTTACCAAGCATGACGTCCTTCTCCAGTGACTGGTCTCTCCTGACAACATGTCCAAAGTATGAGAGACAAAGTCTCACCATCCTAGCTTCTAAGGAGAATTCTGGCTGTACCTCTTCCAATACAGATTTGTTTGTTCTTATTAATAGTCCATGGTACTTTTAATATTCTTCTCCAACACAATAACTCAAATGCATGAGTTCTTTTACAGTTTTCTTGATTCATTTTCCAACTTTTACATGCCTATGAGGCTATTAAAAATACCATGATTTGGGTCAGTTGCACTTGAGTTCTCAAACTGACATCTTTGTTCTGTACATTTTAAAGAGGTGTAGTGCAGTAGATTCACCTAATACAATGCATCATTTGATTTCTTGACTGCTATTTCCATGGATTTTGATGGTGGATCCTTGCAAAATGAAGTCTTTGACAACTTCATTTTTTTCTCCATTTATCATGATGCTTATTTATCAGTTCAATGGTGAGGATTTTTCTTTTCTTTACATCGAGGTGTGCAGCCCATACTGAAAATGTGGTCCACTTCACTTATAGCAAGCAAAGTTGTGTCATCTGCATATCACAGATTGTTGATGTTAGCCTAGACATGGGGAAGATTGTTGTTGTTGTTGTTGTTTTGTGCCATGGAGTCTGTTCTGACTCATAGTGACCCTGTACAGGGTTTCTGAGGCTGTAAATCTTTATGGAAGCAGAAAGCCTCATCTTTCTCCCATGGAACAGCTGGTAGTTTCGAACTGCTGTCCCTGAGGTTGGCAACCCAATTTGTAACCACTATGCTACCAGAGCTCCTTAGACATGGGGAAGATGGGCAAGTATAAAAAGGAGGGACTAATAGTGACACTGGTGTGGTGCTGCAGGATAATGCACTAGACTGAAAGGTTGGTATAAACTGCAAGGTCGGCGGTTCAAACCCAACTACCACTCCTCTTAATTCCTATACAGGGTTGTTATGGGTCGGAAACAACTTGACAACACTTAACAACAACACAATAGTGATAGAAGGAGCCCTGGTGTTATAATCGGTAAGCACTGGGCTGCTAACCAAAAGGTCAACAGCTCAAACTCACCAGTCACTCTTTGGAAGAAAGATGTGGCAGTCTGCTTCTTTGAAGATTCACAGTGTTAGAAAGCCCGAGGTGGGGGTGGGGAATTCTAGCCTGTTTTGTAGGGTTGATATGAGTTGGAATTGACTCGACAACAATGGATTTGGTTGGGGGTTAACAGTGATCATGGAGTCCCTGCCTGAATGGTGCTCAGCTGCTGACTGAAAGGTTGGAGATTTGAGTCCACTGACATGGTTGGGAAAAAATGTCTGACGATCTACTTAAGAAAAAATCAGTCGCTGAAGACCCTACATAGCACAGCTCTAACACTCTGGCACATGTGGGCTCACTGTGGGTTGGAGGACGCTCATGGCAATAGCAGTTTATTTAATGAGCATATTTGAAACTAGAAGACAGGATTCTTTTGTACCAGTCAAAAAGAGGACGTTGAGTGAGGTTGGAAATAATTAGTTGAATTCAACAATGAGACACACTGATGTGAGAGTTCCTTGTCTGAGTCATACCAGTGGTGATTTTTAAATGCCTTATCAGCAAAATGTCTTGTATCTCAGCTGTGGGTAACTCGTTTTAGACACAGTAAATACTGGAACATTTTCTTTGGTGAAGGCTTGTGGTTGCTACTTAAGTACATATATGTTTAAATTATGCATTTGCTCCTGAAATTAGTGAACTCTTCTAATCCTGTAAATCAAGCAATTAAATAACTAGGTTCATTATCTTTAAATTATTGTTGTTAGGTGCCATCGAGTCACTTCCGACTCATAGTAACTCTGTTTCTGAGGCTTTAACTCTATAGAAACTGAAAGCCTTATATTTCTCCCAAGGAGCAGCTGGTGGGTTTGAACTGTCAACCTTGTGGCTCCTAGTCCAGTACTTATCCTACAGTGTCATCAGAGCTGCTGAAATTATCAGCCTTGGGACAAATTTTTCGGTATACCATTTTGATGGGTATTTTACTTGTTTTTTAAAATGGAGAGATGGTCAGGCCTTTTAAAAATTCTCTAAATAAGCCAGTGTTTCTCAACCTCATCACCATTGACATTTTGGGCTGGATAATACTTGGGTGTATTGGAGTCCTGGTGTGGTGCTATGAGATAAAGCACTGTACCACCAGGTTCAAACTCACCAGCTGCTCCTTGGAAACCCTTTACAGGATCTTCATGAGTCAGGACAGACTTAATGGTACTTAACAACAACAACAATACTTTGCTGTGCACATTATAGGATGTTTAACTACATACCTGCCCTCTTCTCTCTAGATGCCAGTAACATACCCACTCTCCCAAGTTGCGCCAACCAAAAATATCTCCAGACATTGTCATATGTCCCCTGGGGGAATAAAATTGTCCCAGTGTGAGAACCACTAAAGCAAGATGATAAATCTCTAAGCAACCTGAATATAAGCCCATTTTTTAAAAACATGAAACTTAAACTCATGAAAATCCTACAATGTGTATTCTTTTAGCACTATTAAAGATTTACCGAGTACTTCCTCTGTGGAAGCACTTCATAAACCCTGTCCTAGAAAAACGTTTAAGGCATGTCAGCTGTTCTTTAGACCCTTATAATCGAGTTGGAGGCATGCACCCCCACCTACACACTCACTTACCATATAGACATCATTTCAACATCTGCTTCTAGAATTGGGTTATGATTGGAAGAGATTAAATGTCTTGCAAATAAAACCAAAGAACCCACATTCCTTCAGAGAAGGTCTGGGAGACTCCGAATAGGAATTTCCTCTTCTTCCCTCTCCCTTTCGACATGTCCCCTGAGTATCTCTTCTCTCATTTCTAACACACAGTCCAGAATGAAGTGGGTTCCAGAGTAAAGCAGGCAGATGTCAAACATTTTTTCTCTTTTTTCAGTCAGAGATTTATTTTAGAAGTTAATTTGATTTCAGTGTGTTCAGCCAACTTGGCTGGATACATAATGATAGAGTGAAAAGAATATTAGGCCCATCTGAACTGGATTGAAGTTCCTTTTGTGCACAAGCTTCTTTTTAGGCCTCAAACCAACTTAAAAAATAAAAAAAAAAACAATGAAAAACAAACCTGGTGCCACCAAGTTGATTCCAACTCATAGCAACCCAATAGGGCAGAGAAGAATTGTCCTGTGCTGTTTCCAAGACTGAAATCTTTACAGAAGCAGACTGTCGTATCTTTTCCCCATTAAGGAGTTGGTGTGTTCAAACCCAGTTTTCTGTTAGCAGCTGTGTGCTTTAACCATGAAGCAACCAGGGCTTCTGTTTTTGTTTTCTTCAGGTTCTATGAACCCCCAGGGTTTCATTTTTCATCTCTCTTTTCAACTGCCTGCTTCCTGAGTGTTTCATCTGCTCTAGATTGGACAGTATGTGTCTTCTTTCAAAGTGGAATCTTACTTCTTTCTCATTTGTCTGTCAGTTTGTTGTACTGTGGTGATTTGTGTGTTGCTGTGATGCTGTAAGCTATGCCACCATTATTTTGAATACCAGCGGGGTCACCCATGTGGACAGGTTTTAGCAAAGCTTCCAGACTAAGACAGACTAGGAAGAAGGAGAAGCAGACCACTTCAGTGAACCACTGAAAACCTTATGAATAGCAGCAGAACATTGTCTGCTATGGAGCCAGGAGATGAGCTCTGCAAGATGGAAGGCACTCAAAGTATGACAGAGGAAGAGCTGCCTTCTTAAAGTGGAACTGGCTTAATGACGTGGATTCACTAAGGCTTTCGAGACCTTCATTTGCTTAGAATGTATGAAATATGAATCTGAGAAAATTGGAATTCATAAAAAATGAAATAGAATTCATGAAGATCAGTATCTTATGCATTAGTGAATCATACAAACATGGACCTAGAATGACAAACTGAAGAGGAATGACATCACATTCATCATTAAATGAACAATTCAAGATCTGGAAGTATAATGATGTCTGTGATAGAATAATATCAATACTCCTACAAAGAAAACCAGAGTTCTAGTGTGGCTCTGGACTGCTAATCCTAAGGTTGGTGGTTCAAACCCACCAGATGCCCCTTGGGAACCCTATATGGGGTCACTATGAATAAGAACCAACTCGACAGCACATAACAACAACAAAAGCAAGGAAAACCAGTTAATACCACTATTATTCAAATATTTCCATCAATCACTAAATCCAGTGATGATGAAATTGAAGAATTCTACCAACTTCTTCAGTCTGAAATTGATCAAACATGCAATCAAGATACATTGATAATTACTGTGGAATGC